GAATTAGGCACACGGTGAAAAAAAGTACACGAGGCAGCAATCACAGATACAGGAGGCATAAACATAAACTGACAAAATGTTTAAAAACTGACAAACTGAGGAGAAAGAGGCTAAAACAGCAATTTTTTAATAGACATGGATGACTGGTGTCTCTATCAATAAATGAAATAATTATTCGGATCGTTGAACATGATACGAACTTTCAGCGCTTTACCATGCAGGGTTTTTTTTGGGGGGGGTGGGGGGTGGGGGCGTGTTCTTCGGCGCTCGCAACTGCATAAGATCACATAAGAGCGCGGAACACATTAAACATTTTCAGTTAGTAGGAACTTTTGAATTTTGTCTGGGTGACTGCCGAAGCTTACTCTTATCGATTTTAGACCACCACGGGATCTCTAACGTGCGCGACTTGCACTCGGGACCTCCGAAATTTTTCGCCCTTGTCTGAGAAGGCTAGGTGTAGATCTTTCCTACCAGAAGATCATGTGTGTGGCAGAAAGACAGCAGTTAGAAAGAGCCAAGGAGCAGCAGTAGAAAGGCTGCAGAAAGAGTCAGGAGGGAGCAAAGGAGGTTAGGGGGTTGGGGCAGAAAGTTGAGACGAAAGGAGACGACATTGCTAGAGAGCAGGAAAGGAGGTGAAAGAACATCATTTTAGAGAAGAACATTTTTCCGTCGCTACCTTTATTCGAACCCAGGACCTTTGAACGGGAGTCGAACATCTTAACCTCAAGACCACGAGAGCCCCCAGGTTGTGGTGTGCATTCTGATAACGAGAAAGATAAAAAAGGAAGAAAATAAACCACTGCATAATCACCTTAGAATCTATCTGGATAGAGAGTGGCCCAGCAAGATGCACACTAAGCTCCCCCCCCCTCCCCCGGGGCGGTGCTACTGACTGAAGTATCTTAAGGCTATTCCCAAAAGGGGGACATTAATATCTAGAGTTCTTATGAACAGTAGAATTGTAATTGTAAATGAATGGGCTCATTCATCAATGTCAAGCTCATAACTCTGCCTGAACTGCAACAGGGAACTGCTGCTTTTTCTATCATAATCCTTACTATTGTCATTTTTTCTCTACTTCTTTTGTATGTTTGTCACACTCTTGTGACCCGCTATTTCCGGGGTGCCTTGATAGTCGAAGCAGACTTTGTGCTGTTGAAGCTAGAGAGGTGAGCAGAGTAAGTATGACTCCCTATAAGGACTTCTCTGTTGACATCCACCCCTTGGCGCTCATATGACCTTATGAGGTTGCGAGCGCCGTAAAACTTTACTAAAACAAACACTTAAATCTAGCTGGCTGCACGCCAATACCGCTAGTTTTTACAAATTGAGAGAAAAAAAAAAACTAACCAAAAACCAACCTGCCCTGTCTCTATCCCCTTCTTCTCTTTTTCTTCAGGTGTCGCGTCCGGGGTAGACACTAATGATCTTGATCTCTTCTCCTTCCTGGTGTCTGTTTTTCTAATCAGCTCAGTTTTTCTCATTGTGTTTACCGACGTATTTGTCGCAAAGTTGTTCAGGCCTTCTGTGTATGTTGTTCGCTGTCTTCCTCTGCTCTTTTCCCCCCTCTATCTTTTCACATACCAACGGTTTTTCTGGTCCATTTGATCTATTTATGTCGCCAAAGAGTTTCTTTCTGATGCTTCTTAGATCTTTCCCAACATGCCATGTGGAGCATTTATTCTCTTTTTTTTTTCTTTCCCCCACGAGATTCTGAGTATTTTTGTTATATACTTCATTTCGGAGGCTTTCAGTCTTTTCTGTATTCCTGTTTTGAGTCCAGCTCTCGCACCCTAACAAAAGGATACGGTTTCATGGTTCTTATCTTTGAGTTCACTGTTGTGTTTCTGTTTGAGAGGATGGACAGGTTTAATCGTGTTGAAAATATTTTTTAAAGATATTGCAGTCCTCTCTTTCAGCTCTGTATGACTTTTGCATCTTGTAGAACCGTGTAATCAAGATATTTGAAGCTGTGCAATCAAGATATTTGCATTCAATAGGAGCCCCTTCGCTTATAAATATATGTCACTCTTTTAAGAATCTTCTGGAGCTTGGACCCAGCTATCAATTGTACATGAGGAAATGACAAAGACTAAGAGAGAGAGAGAGAGAGAGAGAGAGAGAGGTGACAGGTGAGGA